AGATTGAGGGCAAAAGAAGAAGGAGACAACAGAGAAGGAGGTGGCTGGATGGAGTCACCAAAGCAGTCAGCGTGAGCTTAAATGGACTCCGGAGGATGGTAGAGGACAGGAAGGCCTGGAGGAACATTGTCCATGGGGTCGCGATGGGTTGGACACGACTTTGCAACTAACAACAAGCCTTGCTGAAATGCATCTGGATTCTGTAAAACCCAGCCATGCTCTCGGACCGATACATTTGTCAGAAGACAATGTGAAATCTCGATGAAATCCTTTTATTATCTCGTCTTAAAGAAACACTTACCCCTCTTTAATGAATGGCATTGTGGGTCCTGGCGGAAGCAAATCCAACTTGCCAACAGTCCAACTCTGCCGATAAACACACTCCTCTGGCAATTTGATGGCAGGGAGACAGTGGCTCGGGAGAGTCTTCAGTGGAGCAAACATGGAACATCCCATAAAAGCTTGACTGTTCTCGGGCTTATAAACATAGGAATAATCCTGAAACACACACCAGGAAGAGCATTTAAAAACAGCTATGAATGGAAAGGACGCGGTAGCTCAGTGGCCAGAGACGCTGAGCTCGTTGATCAGAAAAGTCATCAGTTTGACGGTTCGAATCCCTAGCACCGCCTACCGGAGTGAGCTCCTGTTACTTGTCCCAGCTTCTGCCAACCTAGCAGTTTGAAAGCATGTTAAAAATGCAAGCAGAAAAATAGGGACCGCCTTTGGTGGGAAGGTAACAACATTCCATGCACCTTCGGCGTTTAGCAATGTCGGCCACATGACCACAGAGAAGTCTTTGGACAGCGCTGGCTCTTCGGCTTTGAAAGGGAGGTGAGCACTGCCCTCTAGAGTCAGGAATGACTAGCACTAGGATTGAGAATCTCCATAGACATTCCCCCAAAAGCTACTTACCACCTGGTCCCAAAGTTACAGCTATTGCAATGCCCCTGTGGTCATTTGCCCTTATGTTGCAGTGCCCATCGGGAGGGTGGGGGGCTTTGGGAGACCCAGGGTGGGTAGGCCTGGGCCTCCAAAGGCCTCCCCCACCCAAGGCAATCTGTACTCCATTTAAATGACCTGCACTTTCATTTAACAGCTTCACTGGGGAGAGCACGAGCTGTGGGTTGTTAAGCAAGGCCACCTCGTTTTCCAGCCGTCATGACGTGGGACCAAAATGGGCAGCTTCTATTAAGGTCGTATGTCAAGGACTACCAACACTGGGGAGGGGTGGGGGGTGGGAGAGATACTAGTGGAAGAAAAACAGGCTCCTATCTGAGCGCAGATAGTGGCGAAGCTCTCATTTGTGGCAACATCTGTTTTCTCCCATTGCTAGCGCACCTCCTCCACGTAAAACGCATTCCCCTCATAACTGATACAGGCAGAAGCTAAGTTAATATTTAATTTGAATGCAGGGCTGAAAAAAGTCAAAAGTTAATCAAACAAGCTGTTGTCACAGCTAATGAAACGTGAGTCCATTTCACTGCGCACCCAAATAAAGCTATTTGGGGGGGGGGGGGAAATCTCGTAATGGTGGCAGGAAAAAAACCCACCGCTGCCACCAAATTGAATTCCAGGAGGAAAAAAAAACAAATAAAAAATATTAAAATGAACAATCCTGGCTATTTCAGGAGAAATGTAGCCATTCAGAAAAACCTTGTCTCTGACAATGAACCAACCCAAAAGCTGTTAAATTGTCCTCCTCTGTCATTTTGGTAGATGAATCAAAACTAGACAACGTTACATAACTAATATTCAAGAACTTCCAAAGGAATTTACAAACCTTTATTTCTGTGGGTTTTGGACTACAGAATCCCTCGTCCACTTCAATCCTGAACTGAAGGCCACCAGTCACACCGTTTCCTTCGAGGATGGTTCCTCCGGGGGTGGTGTCCATGCTGCCGTACTCCTTGTTGTTCATATTCATGGGAGAAAATCCCATAATGTGTTGCTCCAAGGATGGTGGTGTGGGATACATTTTATGAAGATCAGCTGTACCTGGTTTAGGTGCAAGTTATTTCACATGTTATTTTTCCTTCCGCTTCAGTCTGCTTAACCAGTACAGCTGCTTCCCCATTCTGCATGTTTTACTCTTTTAGAATAGAATAGAATAACAGAGTTGGAAGGGACCTTGGAGGTCTTCTAGTCCAACCCCCTGCTTAGGCAGGAAACCCTACATCACTTCAGACAAATGGTTATCCAACATCTTCTGAAAGACCTCCAGTATTGGGGCATTCACAACTTCTGGAGGCAAGTTGTTCCACTGATTAATTGTTCTCACCGTCAGGAAATTTCCCCTCAGTTCTCAGTTGCTTCTCTCCTTGATTAGTTTCCACCCATTGCTTCTTGTTTTACCCTCAGGTGCCTTGGAGAATAGTTTGACTCCCTCTTCTTTGGGGCAACCCCTGAGATATTGGAAGACTGCTATCATGTCTCCCCTAGTCCTTCTTTTCATTAAACTAGACATGCCCAGTTCCTGCAACCGTTCTTCATATATTTTAGCCTCCAGTCCCCTAATCCTCTTTCTTGCTCTTCTCTGCACTCTTTCTAGGGTCTCAACCTCTTTTTTACATCGTGGAAATCAAAACTGGATGCAGTCTTCCAAGTGTCTTATGCTTAAAGGACACAGAGGCCTACTGAGATATATTCATTTTCTAAAGAGAGCTAAAGCACAGACATTTTTGAATCTGCCTTTTTAGGGCTTCCAAGTGTTACACCTAACCAATCTGCAAGCTAACTCACAAATAGCATTAAATTCCACAAACCCACAATGGTGCTCTCTCATCTCTAGTGGGGCCACCAGAATAAATGGTATAAATTACTTGTCTTTTTTAAAAAAAATGTTAGATAAGCTTAACCAAAATTTGGACAGAAATCCAGAATCTTCTTTCCTCCTTTCCTTTCCTTTCCTTTCCTTTCCTTTCCTTTCCTTTCCTTCCCTTCCCTCCATATATTTGCCACCCATCTCACCACCAGGTGACACTGAGTGGCTAACAATTATACAGAAATAAAAAAAATGAAACATGATAAAAATGTTATGAAAGAAGTGTTCTCTCTTTCCCTTTAATTTCCCCCCAACCACTAATCACTAAATATTTGTCTTTTGCACTGAAGATTAAACATTGGAGAATACTGCTTATATCTGTTTAAATCATTTCGTTTTATCATTTTTAATTATTCTTCTAAATCTAGAAATTCCAAGGGTGCTTTTTCCAAACAGCATCTGGATTTTTTGGGGGACATTTTCCTTTGAAAAGGTTTCGCTTCTTTATCCAAGAAGCTTCTTCAGTTCTGAAGAAGAGGTTTCTTGGATGAGAAGAGAAACATTTCATCCACTTGTCTTTTGGAAAAAGCACCTTCGGGACAACCATGACCTGGATGATTGAGAATCTCCATAGACAATTCTAGAAATCATATTCTAAACATCTAAATGTGCTTTGCTGTGTTGTATGTTATGAATAAGAGAATCATTTCTGCTTAAATTTAATTAATCTTCTGTTATGAAAATATACTATTAGTTCTGCTTTTGCTCCCTATTCTCCAATTTTGGTCTCCCAAGCTTGTATCAACAGCCAAATTACATTTTTCCAGTGCAGAGCATAATTTATTGTTGCTGCTGTCAACATATATTTTAATAAGTTATAATACTTTTCATTTATACATCCTGTAATTACAGTATTCCTAATAGGAATATTTATGGTTTGAGGCCAAATGTCTGTATACTTTGTTATATTTCCTTCCAGATACATTTAGGTATTTTTGCACGAACACCACTTGTAATAAAATGCTCAAAATAATATTTTATTACATGTGCAAAAATATATGGCATTTCCAGCATTTATTATACATGATTTGTCCATCTTGGCAATCATTAATGGAGCTATATACCCTATTTAAAACATTTTATACCAATTTTGCCTCAAATTATAGCTTGAGTGAATGTTATTGATTTTTTCACAGCTCTTCCCATTTTTCCACTGTAATTACTTCCTTGAAATTTTGCATCAATTATTAATTTGTTCCATCTCCATGACATGTCTCAGTAGCAATTTATAAATATATCCTAGGAAATGTTCTTGACTCGTGTAAGTGCTTTGAATTCTGTCATCCTTCTAAAGGCCTGTTCTTGAGTCTTGAGGTCATTCGTTATTCTTTCACCAATTTATAATTTATTAACTATGGTAAGTTCCTATCTTTATTAAGCAAATTTATAAATACATTAACTATGGTAAATTCCTATCTTTATTAAGCAAATCTTGCCATCTCCTTAGTCTGTTTTTTTTGAAGCTGAATGTACCATATTAGTATAAATACCTAAAGCTTGCATGTAGTTATCTTTTATGTAAAAATAATTGATGGGAGATGTTAATGGTAAAGACATATCATTCTCAGAAGGCTCCAAATGTTTAACAGATTTAGTCTCATCATAGATCCTAACAATTTTTTCTCTTTTCTTTTTCTGTTTCTTTGTGCCGTCATTACTTCTGAAGTCCTGTGGCTACTTTTATCATTGACGTTTCTACTATTTTGAGAATTTTATCCATTCTGTTGGTTGCTTTCTTGCAGACATTGCATTACCCAAACTAGGTAACATCAGCTTAGCACTGATGATGTTACCTAGTTTGGGTAATGAAGCACCTGCAAGAAAGAAACAAGCTCAGAGAACACCAAGGACCCCTCATGCTTTTTTTTTTAATTGAAAATTTTGGGGGAAAAAACTTTTACAAATGTTTACCTCCCTCTCCCTACCCTCCCCCCCACCCCCCCCCCCCGCTTCCCAGAACCAATACAGGGTATAAATCTTTAACAAAGATATTCTGAGATAAACTTAAAAAAAAAAGTTAGTATCATTTTTCATTGAGCTTTACCTCCTCTTTGCTAGGCTAGCTCTAAACAGATTATATCATTCCTTGTTTCTTCAGTCATAAACTATCTGGAATTTCTTAGTCCCATATTTATTTTGGGTATAGACAATCCAACTTCTCCACTCCAGTTTCTCTCTCTCAT